AGAACAAAGACTTGTCCTACCAGATATGTACAAATAGAGATTTCAACCCAGCTCTCCTGCAGCTTGGCCAACAATTCCCAACCACAAGAAAGCTTATTCTTTAATCTCAGTTCAATCAGTGGATTTTTGAAGATGAAGGAGAGTGTTACTTGGATATATAAAAAAAGTTTATTTGGTGCCAAGCATGCAGTGAGTAGAAATGGGTAAGTTTAAGCTAGCTAGCAAAAAATTAAAAGAAAGCCAAAAATCTCTCCCTGCCAACACCACTCCACCCTGATCTCTTTAAAGTTGCTGTCTATATTTTTTTTTGCTGATCAGAGCAAAGCTATAATTAGAGCTATAACAAGCCAATAATTTCTAAGCGCTCATACAAAGATTAGTTAAAATAAAGTGATGTTACTCACTGACAAATTAATCCCCCGACACTAAAATCTGCACAAATATTGTTTTAAACCAAAACATTTACCTTGCCAACTTCTGATTCAAAGAGCTAGAGGATACAACTTCTCAGTATTTGTAATGTGCGTAACTGTTCCGTACAATGGAAAGAAAACACGACGTAGGTTCTGGCAGGTGAGGAGATGATTCTCACATTATTGCTGGCATTGCCACTGGCTGATCAGTCAGCCTTTGGGCCTTTGCCCCCTGTTTTTCCAGCTGCAGTAGGAGAGGTGTGCTTTTACTTACTGCCTCTCTTAGCAGCACACTGCTCCACAAACACCAGTAGGATATTTTCATCCTGCTTATAGGCTAAATTTATCCTTCCTAGCCTTAAATCATAGGCAAAATTTGATAAGCTACTTTGAGTAAGTCTCCTGTAAAACCTCCCCCCACAAAATCTAAGTACTCTACCTATACACTGCAGACACAAAGTACAGTTTCTTGAAAATATCCTTCTTTACTATCCTTCCTGCCTGCTGCAGCATTTTGCATCTCATTTCATAGTAGATTTAGGCAGGAGTTACACGTTTCCCAGTCAGTCTCTGACTGACAATCATTATTTGATTCACATATAGCTGGGGTTCTTCTCTGTCAAAACCACAGCCGACACTGAGGTCTCACCCATACAAAATGATCCCTATGCCTCTCCAGCTCCCCCAAAACCTCAGTCATATTAGTGTTTTAAGTGGTGCAACTTGACTAAACCATTTTCCAAGCTTCAAGCCAAAAGAGCTGCTGAAGTACAGCTGCACAGCATCTTCCCGTACTGCAGACAACGCCTGAGGCCATCCGGACAGATTTAGAGCAGGGCTACGGAGCTTCAAAGGGAAGCCTGCCAGGCAGAGAGAAGACAGGACTAGGCCATTTGACAACTGAACTGAAACAGCAGGGCAGCAGCCCTACGAGGGATGGAGGAGGAGGAGGAAGGGGCACACAAAGTACAGGAAGAGACTCCAAAGGGGAGGACAGGAGGGCCAAAGGTAACATATATATGAAAAGGAATACATACTTCACAAGAGACTCAGGGCAGAAAATGAATTAATAAAACACAAAACCAAAACAAACCTCAGAGCAACCTGAAGGGAAAAAAAACCCACCAGAAACAGCATCTCTTAACAGGCAGAGGAACTGGTGCCTGTCAATGTTATCCAAAGCCTGGGAAGGACATCGCTAACAAGAACTATAGCAATAAAGGAAAGTATACAAGCAAAGGCAGTGAAAGCGAGTTTAGAAAAGGCTTTGAAAACATGCTCAATTTGTACAAGTTTTCTCAAGGCAAAGAAATGTATTTTTTTCTTCCACTGCAGACAGCTCGGCTTCTTCATCTCAGCTGCTTTTGTAACCCTGTTTCTGACGTCTTCTCCTCTTCTCCGAAAATTCAGTAGGGTTAAGCATCAGACAAAAAAGTATAGCTCTGGTTTCTCCTGGTGGGATGTGATACAGCAGCAGCTTCAGAAAGTTTTCTTCCTTCCAGGAATGCATAGCTCGGCAGCCACATCCTGCTGGGGCAAAAGCAAACCCCTTCTTCCCGTCTGGAGGGCTCACAGTGACAGCTACATGTTTTTTCAGCATCCTGCCCAGCAACAGGCCCTGCTTCTGTGAGGGGGACAAGCCCAGAAGGCTCTCTTCTTTCCTCATTTGGATTCCCAACCTTCCTAGGAGGGGTTATACCTTCAGAGATGCATTCAGTGTTCCAGACTCTGAAGATACAGGCTGACATGACTGCGTCAGCTGTCCAGAAATCGAAGTAAAACAGGTACAGGGAGCAGGCTGAACGGAGTGAGTCCACCGTAGCTGCCTGATTCTTGCAGGTACGGCCCCAGACCGATCACATCCATATTGAGCTGCCTGTAGCAGTGCTGGCCTACATCCAGCGCACACAGTGAAGAAGCCAAGCATCAATACCATACCCCATCTCTAACCTAGCATCTAAGCCCTTCCCATCCATGAACCAGGGCACTCCTGTATGTCTGATAACTAAATTACTGCCTATGCCATATTTTTAGGCATGGGGGCCTGGAAAATTAAAACAAAGCAGCTGGGTAAAGAGAAGCAAATCTCTAGAAGGAAGAGAGCCTGTAAATGTTATCTTAGGCTGGCAAATACCCTTCCAGCTACAAGCAGGTCTCCTCTTCCCTCCCATTATGCTCAGTGCATTCCACTTGTTTCCTACATAGGATCCCTCTCAAAGCAGTCTCTTCTCCTTGCTCTTTGATGTGCTTGACACAGATACCTTTGCTTGAAGCTGAAGTGCCAGGAGAAATTATAGTGGTTTGTACTACTCAGTCGCATTTTTCATGAAATTGTGAAGCTAGTGATATAAAATTCCTAGTCAGAGCAGAGAAACTGTGTGCTGGTTTTGGCTGGGAGAGAGTTGATTTTCTTCACAGTAGCTGGTATGGGGCTATGTTTTGGATTTGTGCTGAAAACAGTGTGAATAACACAGGGAAGTTTTAGTCATTCCTGAGCAGTGCTTACACAGAATCAAGGCCTTTTCTGCTTCTCACACCACCCCACCAGTGAGTGGGCTGGGGGTGCACAAGAGACTGGGACACAGGCAGGATAGCTGACCCCAACTGACAAAAGGGATATTCCATACCATAGGACATTATGCTCAGCATATAAACTTGTGGGAAGAAGGAAGGGGAGGATGTTTGGAGCGATGGAATTTGTCTTCCCAAGTAACGGTTACACATGATTTCCTGGAGATGGCTGCTGATGGGAAACGGTGAATGAATTCCTTGTTTTGCTTTGCTTGTGTGCGCAGCTTTTGCTTTACCTATTAAACCGCCTTTATCTTAACCTACGAGTTTTCTCACTTTGACTCTCCTTATTCTCGCCCCCATCCTGTTGGTGGGGAGTGAGCAAGTAGCTGTGTGGTGTTTAGTTGCTGGCTGGGGTTAAACCACGCACCATTTGGGTGCATGCTCTTTC